CCCCAAAACCCCAAAACCCCAAAACCCCTCTGTAGATAAATAGAGAATTTGATTGTTAAAGTTAATTTAAATAGCAGTGTTATCGGATATTTTAAAAACTAATGCTTAGCAATTTTATTGACTTATATTATTAATCATGGATTTGCATTACTCTAACCAATAACAATCTGAAGCATAAAATGACCTATTTGATTAGTTTGAGTATAGGGGAGATCTAGATACTTTGAATGCCAAGTAAAGCTAGCCAGCAAATGAGAGAAAAAAGATTGTAGCTTCTAAATTAAAGAACGAAGATGTCTAGAAATTCCTTGATTATATGTTTGATTACAAAGATGAAGGCAAGGTGAAACAAAAAATAAATTCTTAAGAAAACTCTGATAACTTATAAAAATAATGAGGGAATTTGAGCAACATCTACAATAAGGAGACAGTTACTGGAACGCATAGGATTCTTTGCATAAAGGAGGTTTAATTACCGCAGATAACATAATCCTCTTGCTCGCACACTAAGCAGATTGAATTATAACCCAAAAAAATACTGAAGTAAATTAGCAACTCTACCAATAGAATACTTGGATTTAAAAAGAGCTAGAAAATGCATCAATCTAAGCAAGTATTGATGCTATTGAAAAAGAACTAACAAGAGCTGAATTAGGAATCATTTTCATAGGATTATTAGACTTGTAGATAATAGGATTAGAATTATCTATCCATACTTTAAGTAAAGAAAATCGAGAATTAGGATGTGATAATAGATGAGTTTCCTCGGAAGAATTTAACTCCAACTCCACAAACTAGAGTTTAAATACCAATGGATGATTAATACACTAGGTATGATCCATATAGTCAAAACCAATCAGTTGTCCAATCTAAAAGCTAAGTCAATTATTAGAGTAATCACTTACAAAGAGTCTAGAAATATCTCAAAAATGTTTCGGAAAAGAGTCATAGAGAACATAATATCACAGACAAAGAAAATATTGGCAGCCAGGACAACATGTATGAGACTAGATTTGTAGACATTAAAATACCTAAAGCAGTCTCAATGTTGTAGTCAAACGATATTTAAGGTATCGATAAAGCAGAAAATAATACTAGCTTTGATAAAAACTATATACCAATCACTAAGATGCCGTTTCCTTCATTTGGAGGAGAGGAGCTTAATTAGGACAACACTAGTATAAGCTTTATTGGTAGAAACAGTTTGGGACATAGTCAGATCTTCGATAAAAACGAATAAAATCTGAGAGCTTTGAAAAGAAATAGTACCGAAGCAACTTAAAGAGTTTAAAGATAAATGAAGATGAACTTCAAACTTATTAAAGAGGATATTAATAAAAATAAGAATAATCTCAAGGCCTTTAATCTCTTTCACATGATCATGTCTGATAATGAAACTAAGAATGATTAGCTACAAGAGAATAATAATAATCAAAACAACAATTCCAATGTAAATGAATAATAACTAGGCATATGTCCTTAAAATAGGAAAGCTATGAATTAGAGTAAAAATGAGAATAGCAGGAATTAGAAGGGGTTTTTGCCAATAAGAAACATACCTCGAAATGGATTTTCAAATTATCTTATGAAGAAAAAATTGTTGGTGTAATCTCAATAGCAAATGAAAAATAACGAGCTTAGTACTGTAGATAGCAACGAGTCTTATTTTAAAGATTTATTCGTTGTAAACAGTAAAAATCAGCAGAATAATCCTCTAACTATTTAAAAGATAGGTTAATCACATAGAATACCTACTTTGATACGGCAGAGGACAGTTATCAATACAAAAGATGCTAGTATATCTTGTGATTTGCCTAAACACATTGATTCTTATGGAAATATATCAATTGAGGCAGATACAAATATAAATGATAATCTCCTATCAGCTCAATCAAATCCCTTATCAAGTTAGCTTGAATCAAACTAAGTTTCCTCATTAACATTGAACAGTAAAAAGATGAGTTTAGCAAATTTAAAGTACATTAGATCAGCTTAGATAAATGTATAAGTATAATTGAAAGCCTCATAGCAAAAATAGAATACTTCTTAAATTCCAAATACTTAAGGTGAATACTCATTATGGCAAATGCCATATCAAATAAACTAAAGTTTCCAAGGTGGAGAGCTCTAGATTAAAAATAAATCTAGGAATAAAATAGGAGGAAGTTATGCCACATAATACTAAACAGATTCAACTTACCAATAGAGAAATTTGAAATCATTTATACCAGTCTTGCAAAAAAATAAAATGCTAAAGAAGTCTTCTTTATCGCCCATTAATTTCTCTCAACAAAAGCTAAGTAAATGCGGTGAAATAACTGATTCAGCTGGTTCTCCTAGTCCATTTAAAGGACCAGTCTATGTCAACACTAGCAGCTAGGATATATTGATTAATGTAGATAGAATCGAACGTTAAAATGTGATTCTCACAAAAAGCTAATTGAATGGCATAGCTTCATAAAATTTAAAGTGTCAATCAAATAGCAAAAGATTGAAACATGGAAATCACAGTACCAGCTATATGCCAAATAGAAAATAATATAAGTAACAATAAAACTCAGATCTACCCAGATCCCCTATCATTTGAATATCACTAACTAAATCACTTATAAAATATGAATATCGTTAAAAATATTATTAATAAATGTTAAATTACCTTAATTTTAATTTCTTAATTTTAAGGAACAACTTTTTGATTTGATTTGATATAATACTTTTGGGGTTTTGGGGTTTTGGGGAGATCG